AAAACTTTCTCCCGCATTAGTTTTTACAGCTGACGTGATTATCTGCTATAGTAAACATCGCTTGGCTCTCACAGACAGAGATTAGCTCTCACAGCTAACGCATTGCTTTTCACGCTGGCAGCTAACACATTAGCTATCACAGCTTACATATTTTTTCCGTGTTGCAGTGCGCGTAAGGTGCCACTATTCTCGGTTCTTCGGCCCGAGGGGTGTGCAACTGCACTCTAAAAAAAATCAATACAAAATTCTGTAACATTGTTACGCAGTAATTAACATATCACATGTTACAGAAATTTGTATCATTTTTGATACAGATTTTAATCTGTAACCTGGATACGAAAATCTGTATCACCTGATACAGAACATCTTTGGGATTTTAAAATTGTAATTCTTCATTTTGTTACTCTTCCTCCCTTTCCCCCTCTTCTTTTTTTCTAGGGGACTTAACTCCTTCGATTTATTTTACGTAATGTACCTTGCCGCACGGGGAGTTGAACCCCAGACCCTTGGATTAGGAAGTCGCGCCTTTACCCGCGCGGCCACCCAGGCTACCTGAGGAGAGGTTCGCTGGAACCCGGGGTAATGCCACAGGGGCTCCCGGAGACCGTGCCTACGAAGTTCCATAATTCTGTATCCAGGGTTACAGAAAATTGTATCCACCGTTACTTGATCTTGTATCTGTTACAGAAATTAGTAACATTTACGGTATTTTGTAACATTTTGATCAGATTACAGAATTTTGTACCCATGTTACATGTTTCCATATCACAAGAGCCTGATACAGAATTCTGTATCAAATTTGATACAGAATTCTGTATTATTTTTTAGAGTGTGGTCAAAAAAGTGTATACACATGATTGTGTCTAGACAATCACTGTTTCAGATTGTGTGTGATTGTTTATGATTGTGTCGACGATTGTGTCTGATTTTTTCAAATTGTTGGGTCAAAACTGGGGCATAATTTTAAAAATTGTGTCATGATTGTGTGTGATTGTGTGAGATTGCTTCCGATTGTGTTTGATTGTGTTGATTGTGTGTGATTGTTTCAGATTTTGTGTGATTGTTTCTGATTGTGTGTAATTGTTTCTAATTGCGTGTGATTGTTTCTAATTGTGTGTGATTGTCTCTGATTGTGTGTGGTTGTCTCTGATTGTTTTTGATGGTTGGATCAATATTGTGACATATTTTGCAACATTGTGTCAGATTATAACCTGATTGTGTTGTATTGTTTCGTGATTGTGTGTGATTGTTTCAGATTTTGTGTGATTGTTTC